ATTTCTTCACAAGGAGTGGTCGTAGGGGGGAACTTAGGGCGGACAAATTCGTGACGAATTTCATATACTGATTGATCGATCCAAAGAAAGACCTAAGTTCAGATATGTTTTTGGGGTTTGGTAGATTTTTAATCGAATCTGACTTTCCCACCAATGGTTTCACGCCCGATTTTGATATCTTGAAACCTAGCCACTCTATTTCTTTTTGGAAGAATGCACATTTTTCCCATTTTACCGCCATGTTCTTGTTGTCCAAAATGTTTAAAATGTTTGTTAGTATCGCTTTGTGTTCATTAAATGAACCTTTCGAAGCTATTAAAATATCGTCGATATAACAGTTGGTAAAAGGAATATCTTTCAATAAAGAGTCCATTACCCTCTGGAATTCGTTTGGCATATCGCCCAATCCGTAAAATCCAGTTAAAAACCTATAGGTTCCAGTGGTTTCGCCCCCCACGATACTAAAGTTGCACTGTTTGCTAGTGTCCGTGCATAATTGTAATTGGCTGTATGCGTTCTTTAGATCTAGATTACTAAACCAAACTTCCCCTGACTCTTTGCTTGACAGTTCAAGAGCAATATTATTGATCAGTTCATGTATGTTTGGCATCTGGTACTTGTTCTTGAATATCTGATTATTTAATAGTTTCGAATCTAGTGCCAACTTGATGCTACCGTCTTTTTTTCTTGTAATCACAATTGGGCTTATAAAACAATCTTCGTCGCATTTGTTCAACTTTAAGATATGCCCCTCTTTTTCCATTCTATTTAGTTCCATTTTTACGTTATCGAGTAGATGTAAGGGAACTCTTTTACCTTTGGTTTGGATAGGTTTGAATGGGGAGTGGAAATGAGTAACTTTTCTGTCCGAAGGTATTTTTCCCACTCTGTTAAATAGCCCTTTGTACCTGTGATACAGATTAAGTGTCGTATCTGAATAATTATTTGACTTACACAATTCTGTGTGTGATATGTTGTTGACGGGTAGTAGAGGCTGTCTTTGGGCTATCTCTATTCCAATTCTCGGGAGATTGTCGTTGCCCAGGATGTTCCTCTCATGTCCAGAAGTGATGAAAAATGGGGCTTCGTCCGCGGTCCATCCATTGGATTGTAACCTCACAACCACCTTCCCGATGATGTTGATTGTGTCGTTAGTGAATCCGCAGTATAATTCCCTCGTTTTCTTCTCAACCGGCTGAACCTTCAACTGTGGATTTCTCAGCCTCAATTCGTGAAGTACATTTTGTTTCAGGAAGCTCACTGGGCTTGCCGAATCCACTGGAATGTTCAAGTTGACTATCGCGTCGTCTCCCAAACCGATGTTGACAAGTTTTTTCGTTTCCAAACCATTGGTATCGTAGATTGTTCTAATGTTGAGGACGGAATAGTCATCGTTATCACTTATCCCCTCTTCGGTCCAAGCGTTGATCACTCCGCAAAAATTTTCTTCGCTTCTCATCTGAAGATCTTCTGGGGAATATGAACAATTCTGACTATTTACAGCTTCATCTACAGTATTTACAGCGGGTTTTCTTCCTTTCGATTTACAAAGTCTTCCAAAATGTCCTTTATATTTACAAATATTACACACGATTTCTTTCGCCGGACACACATTCAGATGACCCTTGGTAAACGCATTCCCGCATTTCATACAAGTATTGGATCTTTCTATGTTTAAGCTTGGTTCCTTTTTAATGTTGTTGAAGTTTTTATACCCTCTTCCACTATTTCCTGTCGTGTTGAAAGATCTAGTCATATTGGTCAGTTTGAGGTGGTTATAGTAGCCTTTTTCGTCAATTATAGCTTGGTTTAATGCATCCAATGGATTGAGAGTTTCCAAAAGTAGTCTACGTTGTAAGTCGCAGTTTTTCATGTTAAAGATAAATACGTCTCTGATCCACTCCTGTTCAGCATTAATTCCAATTTCACATGATCTCGCCAAGTCTGATAACGCGCCCCAAAATTGTTCATAGGATTCTCTATCCTTTTGTTTCCTGCTCAATAATTTGTATCGTTCGAATGTTATGTTGGTTGGTTTGATAAAAGCCAATTCTAGCATTTCGTAAAACTCCTTGAATGAGATCCCTAGGATTTTTACCCTTGGATGTTTCTGGGCGAAAACTCTTTTTCCTTCCGCTCCTAAGGCCAAGTATAGGATCGACCTTACTTTTTTATCGGCCTCGTATCTCCTCATTCCTCCGAATTTTCTCTTTTCTTCTGCTATTCTTTTCTCTTCAGCGTGTTCATAGACTCGCATTGTTTCTTTGTTCCTGGTCTCCCTGGCTTTCCTCTGTTGGTCAGTTTCTGACTCCTGGGCGCCTTCTAGGATTGGTAACGTCGTCTCCCCTTCCATTGGTTCTTTGAGATTATCTAGGTCTAGGTTTTCCTTCGCGATAATGGCCAAATGAAATTGGTCTATCCAATTGTTCCATTGGGTGGGGGGTTCAACCGTGTGGTTCGGCCAAAAGGCGGGTATTCCCCTCAGGTTCGAATCAGTTGTTGACTGCGCCATAATAAAGAGTTAAGATGTACCAATGGTAACTTGTGTATCTAACTAAAGTTAAAAGAGGATAAAAGTAATGTTTGAATTAAAACTGACTGTAGTCTAAAAAGAGCAACTAGTGACTCGAAGTCCACTGGACTTCGTAGAGTTATAATTGACTGGTACGTAATTAGGTCATAGAGGTCAAGGTTATAACATACTAAAAATACTGAATCACAATATTCATAGATAGCGGTTGCTGTTTTTGGGCAATAATGTTTCGATGTTTTCGCATGAGATCATATTAGTATGTAATTGCTGGCTGCTGGCCTGTTTTTTTTTTAAAAAACTTTTCTAAATAATTAAGTTTATCAGGAATCTTTTTCCAGATAGCATTTTTTGCCATTTTGAACTAGTACTAAAAATGACCAGGGAGAAACCAAAAACGTTTACGGGACGAAATGGAAGGACTTTCACTGTAACATCAAAGTTTTTCGGTAGAACCGTACTAACACGAGTTGATCAAAAATGATTATCATGCAAGTGCCTATTATGAATTTTTTTGTAAGTCCATATTATGTAGATAGTATTGTCCGAAACACTTTTATTTTGAGCAGATTTTCATGAATCTAAATGAATAACAAAGTAACTTACTAGGAACCCTTACTAACAGAGTAACTTACTAAACTTTCTTCTTTTCCTCGTTCTCAAAATCCCATGTATACCAGGTTAACCGAAATTATTTCGTATAATTTTCAAAATTACAAAAAAAAAAACTTAATGAAATTTTAGTGATTTCAGGTTTCAATTAAATCAAAGACAACAAATTGAGGAATAACTAAACAATTATATCTAAACGTAAGAACTACATAAAAAAAAGCATTTCGACCATGACTCAAATTATTATCGTCAGTGAAAAATTCAGTTTTTGTTAAAAATTTTCAGGAATTCCTTATAATTTTTAATTCAAAACACTCTCAGGCAATAAAGGGAGGAACTAATGCACCATGAATTCATAATGCGTTTATATACTGAAAATAGAAAACAAAAAAGAAAAAAAAATTAGTACGTCAAAAATGGCTAAAATTTTTGCAACGCGCTTTCAATAAAATTTTATTAAAAGCAATGATTTGTAATTTTATTTCAAAATAGAACATCATGCTTATAATGAGTCATATTTTTTTATGCCAATGTTTGGAGAAAAAAAATGTTTCAATTTCATTAAATGCTACAAAAAAAATATATATATTTTTGGTATTATCTGAAAAAAAAACAACAGATTATATTGCGATTATATGAGAAAAAAACATGTATTGAAAAGATGTATAAAAAAATACATTATATTTCCATTATATTTGACACAAAACAAAAATTTTCTAGGGATATTTTTGACCATATAATCTATTAGTTTTTTCTTCTAAGACAAAATGGCCATTTAACTGATTGTTAGAGGTTTAATTCTTTTTGGACATAAAAACGCCAGATAATTGATTAAAAACTTAAAGTTCTATGAGGCTGAGGCCCACCATGATCCGTGTTTGCGGGTAAGGCAACATTACCATTACCCAGCTCAAAAGAAAATCGCAATGAGTTTTTAAACGGGAACACTTTTTTTCCACTACTGGAATTTCAACGCACATAAAGTCTTTTCTACGTTTTAATCTAAAGTTCGTTACTTGTTGTTCAATTTAATTTTTTTCTGCCTACTTTTGGTATTTTGTTCCTTTTTTATGTTACTCAAAAACCGTAACTAAATTTTGTTCCTTCCATCAATTTTCTTAAATCATAGAAACTTTGGGGAGGGGGCTGGTTAGGACGATTTTTCAGGTTGGGGGGGGGAGCGGAGCAAAAGGACTATTGTTAGGGGGGGGGGGAGACCTTAACATAATCTTTTTTTTTGCATTTAGAGTTTAGGTTTAGAAATGGATTAGGCCGTACACTCGCTTTGCAAAGTTTCCGCATAACTCATTTGATAAATGCAGAAATTCTTCCAAAAGTTTACACAATGCGAAACAAAAATAAAGTGGAAAAAAATCCTTTTAATGTGATTTCTACTTATTATATAATCCATTATAATGGATTTCAAATGAATTATAATGCATTTTGTTTATGCGAGAAAATTAGATTTAAATCCATTTTTAGTCCAATTTGTTGTCTGAGCGTAGCATGGGATTCAATTATGTTTACAGAAATTTTAGACCACAAAAATCTTTTATAATCGACTTGTTTTCACTTTTTTTTAAATGCGGGCTCTTCTATAATTGCTCTAAATGCACAAACTCTTCAGAAGCTGTTAGGCTTAAAGAGGTTGTAGAGCCTTCTTTTAGTCATTGACTGGATATAACGCCAGATAAATCATTACCTTATCCCGAGTTTTAAATTTTACCGTACTTTCTTACGGCAAAACTTGAAGAGACATAGAAAAATTTTCAGTACATATCAGTTGAAAACGTTGTAACAGTTTTGTAAATAAATTAACTTGGAAGCATTTCGTTACGACGTTGGAATACCCTTTCAGATCACTTCAATCACGAGTTGAGCATACTGCAGACCCCGATGATGACTACGACGATGACGATGAAGACCTCCCGGATGTAATAAGTGACGGAGAGGCGGCTAAAGTGACAGCTGAGGTTTTGCTGGATGGAGTAGATGTGATAGAGGAAAGGGGAGCCTCTGCCCTCAATATGGCTTCCCCTCCCACCAATGGGGATGACTTGTTCGAGATGTTCCAGTCCACGTCTAATCCGGCCAAGAAGGGACCGAACTCTAAAAACAAAAAGGTTAGAAAAAACATTACGAGGCCAAAATGTGTATTTTGTGAATTGTAACGGATTCTGCAAAAAAAACGTAAGGCTGTGGTTTTATTAAAGTAAAGAACACGTAAAGTTTTATTAAAAGTTTGTAGAACACTCATATTGTGTAAATTAATAGTTCTTTTGACTGAAGCACTTTTTGATTGCAGCCACGAAAAGAAGAAAATAAATAACGAAAATAATTTAACGAAGTTAACGAAAATAATTTACTTAAGAGCATTTTCACTGAAATTTTAATGTCGCAATCAATGTTTTCAGATCCCTTTCGAGTACAGAAATCTGACAAGGGATGTATTTTTCTTGGATGGAATCAGAAAGATAGGTAAATTTTTTCACTTGTGATATAATTAGAAGAAAAGAACAAAAATGTTTCCAATCAAGGACTTTATATGATTCTAGATTTTGTGTTGGCATACGAGATCTCTGATAAAGCCGACAAGAACTCGAGGATGAAGAGAGAGTTCCGGAAGAATTACTTCATAGCCATACAACGGGCGGGACTCCAACTGGAACAGGTAGTGATAAATGTCTCAGATTGGCATCCAAACACAATTTTCAGCACAAAGTTCCAAAGACGAATCGAAAAGGCGTGTCGAAAAGTCTTCTCAAACCAGATCACCATGACTTTAAAAATGAGCGGAGTTCGCGGAACAAATCTTACTCCCATGTTTCAATGAATAGAGATATTATCAACTTCTACGCAGTTACAAAATTAGAACTTATACATAGAAATCATGCAAAAAAAGGTTTTTTTTTTGAAAAACCAAACGGTCTTTCAGCTCCACTTGCCCCAGTCTGACGGGAAGAAGATTTTCATCTGTGCACATGTGCCTCTGGATGTCATGGTGCATTATGCCGAAATGCTCAACTTTAGACTACCAGTTGCCGTGAGTATTTCTCAATTTCATTTGACTGCAAAATCAGCACAGTAGGTGAACCAAAGTCGATATACTCCTTTTTACGTTTTTCTCATTCAGACCATAGTTTCAACGCCGATAAAAAATATATTATTTCAGTTTTGATCTGTGACTTGCACACTCTGATATTATATGAGCCTAAAAAACAATTGGTTCCAACTTCGTTTAGCTTGATCGATTTCGTTTGTTTATTTTAGTTGGGTGAGCAGCGGGAAGTGAACTGGTCACATGAAGTGCAGCAGAAGTGGTTCAGCTGCATCGGAAACATGATGTACCAACACACTCCCTACATCCCCACCTGCTACCTCTCCTCCCCCTTCAAGGCCACCGCATACCAGAGGTATCAAATTGTGAATCCATTAAGTTACCACAACTAATTACCATCATTTACAATTACCGATTAATTTTTGTTGAACTTAAGACTGATCAGAATAAAGTAATGTTTACACATTGCTGCAGTTATTGCAGTGGCGCCAAGGTCGCCCACCAGGTGTGCTAAGTTATCTCACACGGTGCTAAACTTAAATTCATCTGTCTGTATATCGATATACGATTCAGACCTACTCTTTTGTTACGATAGTTTAACAAGCTCAACTCTATATCTTCCTCTACCCAATACACTTTATAAACATAAAAGTTCATTCCATTTGGGCTAAGTCAATTCTTCTCTTCTTCTTCTATATACATACTACGGTTGTATTTATCGAAATCAACTTTTAGATTTTACCGAGTTTTATCAATCCTTGAGTTCGGTAAATGTCATGGCGCAGCCAACAATTCCCGTTTCGGATGACAAGACACATCGCTGGCTTACCTCCCTTTTGGACTAAACCATCTTTATCCCCACCATACAGTTGGGACAGCTGGTTCGGATAGTTCAGCCTAGCGTTATGAATAAAGGACAATTTCAATGTGTCTGATATCCTTGTTGAACCCGGTGCGGTGCACAATGAGCACGATGATCCTTCTTCAAGGCCAGAAACTAGGCCAGACCCAGAAACACAACCAGAGGCAAATGATCGCCTCCGCAGAGATGCTGCTGCAAAAAGACGTGTCGACGAAACAAACGTTGAGATGCGAAAGAAGGGGCCGCGAATCGGAATGAACTGGTTTTTTCACGAAGCAGAGGTAAGAGCTCGATCAAGACTATTCTTTGCTCTTGGGAACGCAGGTAGAAAGAAACTAGCACAAGCTTTCCCGCACGCTGATCTCAACCTGCTTTCGCTCAGAGAATTTTTTCAAAACTGCGCTTACGCCTTCAAGGTGGAACTAAATGTCACCATGGAACGTATCAAACTCTACAATTTCCGGTACATGGAAGCTAACGAATCATTTCTGTCATTCCACTCGAGGTTGTCGGCCTAAGCGGCGTGCTGTAATTGGACTGCACAAGAGGAACGCAAGGTGGTAAGAGATCTCTTTATAGGTCGTAATCGCGACTCCGATGTACAGAGTAAGTTAATCCTGAAAAATCCAGATCATGCTGGAACATTAAAGTTAGCGTTGGAACTAGAAAAGGGTGCATCTACGTCGATGGAACTACGGAAAATACTACCTGATAACAAGAACGCTTCATCTTTTAGTTTACCTAAAATAAAACAAGCTTTTTGAATACAATCGCGTCGGGGTGGTGGTCAACCTTCTTCCCACAAACAGAACGCCCCGGACCGAAAAAATCAAAACCCATCTAGGTCGTGTTATTTCTGTGGTAATACGTTTTCAACTGATCATCGAAAAAATTGCCCAGCACGAGATGTAGAGTGCCGGTCGTGTAAGAAAAAAGGACATTTTGCTAAAGTATATAACTCTAAACGTCGAGTCAATCGTGTGGATGAGGAGGATGCACAGGCAGGTCTGGAAACTGAAATTGATGTTATTGTGTTGGATCAAGACGACGACAGCGAACCCGAGAATAGGATTCTCAGCATTCAGTCACGAAACAAACGGTCCAGAGTCCAAATTTTCAGTTTAGAACTACTGAAATGCAACCATGGAACACCTCGTAACTTGAGTGTGATGTAGCGCTCGGATGCGAAATCATTCCACGCCACATTAGACACGGGAAGCGCGGTTTCCTCCTTAAACAAAAGGGCAGCGGATGTTTTACTTCAGCAGTATCCCTGGGTTACACTTAACAGTGTTCAAAATTTGCCTAACGAGGTTTCCTATGTAGATAATAACGAGAACTCAATCAAGACTTTCGGTAGTTTGACAATCCCTACCTCTGTCTGGTGGGTGGAAAAAGCATAACGCCACGTTCTTCGTTTCCGAGAACAAAACACGATGCTTGTTGGGGCTAGATTTGCAAAATGCTGTCGGAATAGATACAATCCAGAGGAATCCGCCCCAAATGAAGAGAGTGCAGAATGTGGTGAAAAATTCAACCCTTGAGCTGAGATAATCGCACCTCGTCAAGAAGTTCCGTCAATTGTTCACTCGATTGGGCAGGTCTAAGTCTCATCAAGTACACACAAGTTCATGGACCCGTTGATTCCTAGACTAATTAAAGATCGGAAGGTGCCAATCCATATTCAAGATCGCGTGTCAGAAGAGCTGAAGGCGCTGGCAAAGGAGGGTCATATTACGAAGCTCGATAAATGCACTAGAGATCATTTCATCAACCCCATTAAGATGACCGCAAAGAAAGATGGCTCGATTAAGCTTGCCATGGACGCCAATCCCCTCGATGTGCAAATCTGAGAAATTAAGTATCAGATGCCAAATATTCCGGAACTAATCAAGTCGGCCGCCCAGATCATTAACAGTGATGTCTTTAGTTCAGTGTTGTTACTTCACTCGATTTAAAAAATGCGTTCAGTTTGATTAAAAATTTCGAAAATGACAAAAATTCATTGTAATTTCAATATCATTTGTGGAGAGTCAACAGGAAGATACAGATTCAACACTTGGGTTTCACGGTTTAACGGACATGCCGTCCGAGTTTCAAAAAGCGATGGATTTTACGCCGCAAGGATTTCCGGGACTGTGCTATTTGGATGATATCCTTGTGGTCTGTACGGGGACGTTGTCACAACATAATGAAATTGTCCATAAAATTCTCTCTCGCTTGGACGAATAAGGTTTTGTGTTGAAGTTGTCTAAGCCTGAATTCGCGGTGGAAAAGCTCGAATGGCTGGGATTTGATATCCACTCATCAGGCTACTATCCAAAATTTCCAAGATCGATACAGTCAGGAATCTGAAGGCTCCTAGAACTCTCAAGCAACTGCGGTCCTTCATGGGCATCCTCAACCACTTCCAGAAGTTTATACCTGGTTTGCATAACCTTACGTGCGAATTCCGTGAATCACTAAAGCTTTGCAATAAAAGGAAATTCGTCTGGAATGAGTCTCAGGAGGCTGCATTTCGGAAATTTCTGGTACTCATTGCAGAAATTACTGGCTTGTTCCACCACGACCGGCAAAGAAGACGCGTGAAGTGTGACGCCAGCCACAGTGGCTTAGGAGCATGTCTGGAGCAAGAGACAGATGCAGGTTTGTATGTACCTATTTTGTTCGCCTCGCATTTTCTTAACTCAGCGGAATTTAAATACGGTACGAATCAACTTGAACTACCAGCAGTGGTCTGGGCGTGTAAACATTTTCGCACTTATCTACTATGCAATAAATTCGAGATACTAACAGACCATAAAGCCATGATTTTGGCCCTAGAGGAATATAGAGGAAATTAAGCATACCAGTCACGCTTAACACGTTGGGCGGATAGGCTGTTACAGTTCGACTACGACATCAGGCACGTGCCTGGTGCCAGTCATGGTATGTCTGATTATCTTACCCGAAACCCTACGTTTAATGCCTCTCCTAGTTCAGTTTATGATGAACTGTTTGTCATGAGAACTATTGGAAACTTCACTCAAGTGCGTAATTTAATAAGGGCGGGCGCTGCAATGCCACCGGGCCCCATCGATTACACATTTGTTTCTAATATATCCGTGGAGAGTTCTATGTCAGCTAATTGGTCATTTGGCAACGGTAATTTCGGTGATAACTCGCGTGAGGGTGGATATTCAAATCCACCTAGTATCGATCAATCAGATTCAACCATATCTCTTGAGCAAACGCCGGTAGGGGGCGACAAAATTTTATCGCCTGCCTACAAAGATTTCTGCGGTTGTTCACCGCAAGAGGTAGTTATTTGCTTAACAAGTAATATCGACCAATTAGAGTATAGTCTGTTTTCGTGTAATTTGCCACCACTTAATTGGTGTTCGTTGACCGGAAATACTGACCAATCACGTTCACGTTCGCGAGCAATCTAAGCCAATCAGAAAAAAGACGTATAAAGGCATCAAATTGCTAGAGGGCCACCGGTCATACGATTCCAGGTTCAGCCAATCAGAATCAAGGTTGAAATTTGCGTCCAGTCAATGCTGAATCAAGTCATTCTCAAATCAGTTTTGCTATATTTTTCACTTAAATTCAGTAGGTCAATCGCACTCCAATATGAGTTCTCCTATCAACGCTTCCGCCTTACTCGACAATACAGCAGTTCGAGAGAACCTACTAGACTTCGTCGAAAACTTTGATGCGGGCACTAGTCACGACACACCCAACACCCCGGCTCCGATCAACCCAACGCCTTCTCGTCCCAATGCTCAGGTTCAACCGCTTCCAGTCTCTCAGAAGTCAGACTCGTCAAGGAGCTCCTAGGACACCACTACAGTCAATTGCGAATTTCATCGAAAAGTGTCGGCAACCGGGCTCGTTAGCTGCGCGCTACTGAGGAAGTTTGTTCCATCAAAACGAAGCCGTTCATCTCACAGGATAAGAAGGAGATTGTGGTTCTACCCAGCTTTTTCGATGTCAGGTTACTGGCAGAGCTAACCGATGAAGACGAGTTTCTCGTGCTGATGAGGAGGGCAATCTCAAACAACGAAACAACGATATTCAATCTTTCTCAAAACAGGGCATGTGCATCGCTCAGTTTTCGCCAGTAGCGTTGGTGGTGGATAATTGCACCCTCATTGATAATAAGTTGGCAATACTATTCAAGCTCAGGTCGGCAATTTTGACACGGCTACATTGATCTTACCCCGGACAAAAAGCCAGAATAGAGGCGGCCGAGCTCATTTGGTGGCCCTACATGAATCGACAGATCGTTGAAAATTGTCAGAATTGTATGGAAAGGACGAAATTCGGTAAGAACATGAAGTCGTCTCACACATTTAAAACTTCGCTACTGCTCCCATCCCTCTTCGCTCCTAATGAGGAATTACAGTTAGATTTTGCTGGCCCACTACAGGACAAAAAAAGGAAGAAGTTTTCATCTTGGTGGCAGTAGACAGGTAGTCAAAAATCCCGTCCGTTCTACTATTTAAAAATACCGGCTCCAAAAAAGTAGTCAAATTTCTGGAAGCATATATACGTATTCACGGCACACCAAAATCTATACGCACAGACCACGGCTCCGGTTTTAAAAAAGCTATGCTTAAGGATTGTTGCAAAATATTGGGAACCGATCACTTGTTCTGTCCAGTTGCTGTGGCTGTGGGCTAGTGGAACGGACTATCCAGACGATAAAACATAAATTGAGTACAGAGGCATCTAGCCCTCAGTATAAATGTCTCAATCATGTCCTCCACGCGATCTTGGATGAACTAAGCAAATCCAAGCACGCAACTTTTTAGAAATCTCCTTTTGAAGTACATTTTGGTCGAAAACCGAATAGGGAACTTTCTTTGGCCAGGGATAGGATTCTTGCTAAGGCTTCAGATCAAAGTACCCTAGCTCGGAGCCTCCTGAAACCGGAAGATTGACACAGCCAAAAATATAGCCAGGACAGGGTGAAAGATCTGAAACGTGGTTCAACCAGTCCAGACGTGGCCTCGCGCTTCAAGAAAATTGTTCCGGGTCAGAAAATAGCTGACACCCAACAATATAAAGCCCTTGAGGATCTCGCACTCGCTGCTAACCGGTGGAGTTAGCTGAAACGCAATATTAATGTGTAGACTGGGCGTAAATTGATGCAGGAGCTCGGGTCAGGCAATAATGAGATTGCTAATTTTCTGCAAACAGGTCTCAGCAAAAGTACCCTGAGGTTTTAAGACCGCGTTGCCGATGCACCCAGCAGGGAACCTACGGTCTCACCCAGCCAGTCGCGTCAAAGAACTACCGGTACAAGTAATTTAGAGTCTTTGTTTTTACATAGTCCTGGTAGTGTAAAATTTTTTAGAAAGTGCCTTGACAGAAAGTCCGGAAAACCACTTTATAGAACGGCAAAATTCAAGATCGTTCGGGTCACGAACAACAGGTATATTAAATAACACGTATATTGCGAACACGGGAAAAGTTTTCCGGAAGAAACACATAGCTCTAAAACGCAATTTTAATAACCGTGAGGTTTTAGCTAAAAGGTCAGCAGCAGCCCCCATTCGGGGAGTCAGGGTCGGACAAACTTTGCCTCCACGAAAGATCGCGCCAAGAGGCCAGAATACTATGCCTACGCAAAGATGTCCTATTCGATTGTTCCAGCCTCTCATAAACGGTCGGCAGATCCACCAGTGGTCCTTTTGTCGGACTCGTGTATCCAAGAAGCAATATCACGTATTCAATCACCCAGGAGATCTCCTCGGTCTATGTCTACGCCTCAGCGGGCTCCGAGGGTCACTTCAACCCTTTTTCAGGGGCCATCGGCAGAACACGTTCCTCAAACGCCTTCAAATCCCTTGTACCCGTCTTTGCCTTCGGGTTCGCCCATGGGAGGCCTCAACGCGTCGAACAGGACGGTGGCCACTTTGCCTGCTACCGACACGGCAGTTGCACGAACTCCAACTCTCCGATCTCGGTACGCCATTCTGACGTCCCAGACACCACAGCGGAGACTCCAACTCCAAGTCCAGTTACGTCAGAATTCTCAAAACCAGTTCTTGCTAGCTCAGGGAGCCCAAGCCATTTCGAACCACCACAGTCAGCGGTGCAAGACGATTTGGAGTCACAAACTTCTTCTTCTTCGCGTGCCAGGGCGTCAGGTCGAAACAGAAAGGCCCCAGCTCGCTACGGAAGTCCAATTTGCCACGAAAAGAAGTGGAAGAATTCGCTGCCTCTTCCCCATAGCCCGGTCAAATCGGAGACAGTTCCCCGATCACCCCGAAGCGTCGCTTTATTCGGAGAAACGCCGAAGATTTTGTTCAATCTAGTTCGTCGCCAAATAAACAGTCTCCGAAAGGGATTGTTTTCAAAGATTAATCTAATCAATCTTAGTTTAAAACTTTTTTCAAACTTTCTTCAAACTTTGTCTTATTGTTGTTGCTCTTAAATGTTAAACTTTTTCTCAAGTTTTTTGTTTCCCACCAAGGTGGTGGTGTTATTTATCTTGGAAAAAAATCGTACGTGTAAGATTTTTTTTATCTGGCCCCGGGTATGTCATGCCACGCATATAACATATCATGTTTATACGTTGCACACATTGCTGCAGTTATTGCAGTGGCTCCAAGGTCGCCCACCAGACGTGCTAAGTTATCTCACACGGTTCTAAACTTAAATTCATCTGTCTGTATATCGATATACGATTCAGACCTACTCTACCCTATACACTTTATAAACATAAAAGTTCATTCCGTTTGGGCTAAGTCTATTCTACTTTTCTACTTCTATATACATACTACGGTTGTATTTAATTAATTCAACTCTGATATTTTACCGAGTTTTATCAGTCCTTTAGTTCGGTAAATGTCAATAGCCTATCCGGCCTTCTTAAACAAACAATGCTTCGAAATTTTTCAAAAAAGCTCATAAAATTTAATATTGATGAAGGTGCTCGTTTTAACTTCTTTTTCTGATCTAGAACAGATTCGTTGAATATGAGCTTACAACTCTCAAGCTAAGAAAGGCAACAATTGGCGATTCTTCCGATCCATCTTATAAAAAAGACTGAACAAAAACTTTTGATTGTTTAGATTCCTGGGTTCTGATGACAGTCAAACTTTCTTCAGAATTCGTCATAGAATTAGAATAGTCAGTTTTATTTCTCGCAATTATGAGTTTTTTTATTTCTTCGCGCTTCCACTCAACCGCTTTTATTCTGACTTGCTTCCAGGCTCACGAGATTTTGAACTCGGCTGAGTTCGGCTCTCGGAAGAAGTGTGAAGTCGGCTACATTCGACTGACCGAGAGCTCAGGACTGTCAGCTGCATATCCGCTCCACGATGTAAGTCCAATTGCACTCCGTTTCTCATCCCAGAAGATGCTTCCTCATTCTATTTAAAATTAAATTTTGATGCCAAACTACATTCTTTATCGTTTTTCTTCTCAATAGGTATTTCTTATGGTTCACTCCCAATATTTTAGTTCACTTTTTTTCACAAGTCTGTGTTAGTTACGTGTATAGCCCGATTGTCCATCTGTTAAAACATGAATTCATCTCAAGAACACAAAAAACTCGTTTCACACTTTTTCTCGCTGCTTGCGGGTAAGACAACCTTACCCATCCCAGAAAATTAACCACAAAGTTGCATGTAGATCTTAAACAGGGGTGCAACAGCGGCTCTCCGCAATGAGCTGAAACTATGCTCCTATGTCCGTCGCTCCCATTGTCGATAAATTGTATTTAAAAACCTCTTTAGCATATAAGCCCCCCTCTCTTTTCTTAGATATACCCCTATTAGATATAGCCCCAACCCCAATTTAATAGTTATACCCCTATCCCCACCAACTTGTCCCGCTCTAATATAATTTTTGGAAAATAATCAATATCTCCGACTGGATGTCACCATCTAAAGTGAAAAACTTGAAATATCAATCAATTTTAATTTCTCTATTCAGGGACCCTGTAAAATAACAGAAGAGATAGCCGATGACAATTACCTCTGGAACTCAAGACAAGTTCTCAAGTTCTTCTGGTCGAGTCCTAAGCGGTGGTTCAAGTATCAGCCCATAGACCTCATCCGGGACTACTTTGGGGAAAAGACTTCGTTCTACTTTGCCTGGCTGGGCTTCTACACTGCGTGGCTGTTGATCGCCTCTTTTGTGGCCATAATCGTGGTCCTTATAAGTGTGGGCACTATGTTTTCCAATCCAGCTGCGTACGTCAAGTGCATTTGAATTTTACGTGCAGTGAACTCAGCAAATTTGAATCTCCCTTCATTTTTTGAACCTCTTTGTTATCTCTTGTTGTAATCCATTAAAAATTTTCAAACTCACTTATTTTCCTTAATGCTAAAAGTTTCACAGAACTATCATGAGAGTCAACTTGATCTCAGTTTTGTATTGTAGCATGGTTTTTGAAAAAGGCATGAAAAGGTAGGAAATAAAAAAGAACGGCGACCGAAAAACAAACAAGTGAAATTGATCCAACAAGAAAGAGGTAGTTGTTTTCTGCTTTCAGGGAGCAGATCTGCGAGAGTGGAGAGGACTTCGTGATGTGTCCTCAATGTGACTTCGGCTGTGACCCCTGGTATCTCTCGGAAACTTGCTACTACGCGAGGGTAATCGACGCTCACAAACTGTTTTCCGATTATGTGAAACATCCAATTTATATGAAAACAAGGGTAGCCGGTTACTGTGCAAGTAGCACGGAACGTTCCGACCATATTATTTAAAAAACTACAAAAAAAAACATTTTTTCAAGGTTGTAGTTTTTCTGCGTGCTGTGATAAAAACAAATTTGATGTAAAATTATAATTTAGGCATATTCAACAGTCATAGTAATGAAGGCAAATTTGAAACAAAAAAAATCAATTGTTTGTTTTTTTTTAAATTTTTTTTGCGGAAACTTTTTGAATTTTTGTAAACTTTTGATTCCCAAAAATGGCACCGAAAAAACTTGCGTAAAAATAAGTTTTCAGGGTTTAAATTAAGCATTGATAAGCTGTTGTACGCATTATTCGCTCGAAATTGAAATAAAAATCAAAAGTTTTAAAGCAGTTTTTCTTGATACTGAGAATACTTTAGGGTCGTTCAAATCAATACTGAAGGCAATTTAATATGATATATCACTCAACCCATTCCGCTAATTATATGTGGTTGCTAATTTTGCGTGGAAAAAAGAGGGGAAAAAAGAAAAAACTAGACTAATCATTCACTTCCAATTTAGCCGATTCTCGGTTGAAGGTTGCCGGTTGCCGGTGGGCGTTAACCGGCTCTAAATTTTATAAAGACTCCTACACTCTGTTGGCAAGCTCGCAACCTGTTGGCGTGACCGCGGCGATCCGTTTTTAATCGACCACTATAGCAAAATCTACAACAACTCTCCCCAAATGACTAAAAAAAGACGCATCTGTGCCAATATATTTTAATCAGAACTTTTCGAGCCGAATGAAGAGAAAAAAACTAACATAGCTAACAGAGAGTTTAAAAACAGTCAGTGAACCATGCTGATTTGCCAAATACTGCAAAATAAACTTTCAAATTTCCAACAAAAAGCAGACGGCCTTAAATCTCTCAGAATTTCTAAACTAATTTATAGTTGACACCTTTTTGATAAAAGTAACACAATTTGAGGAACCCGAATAAAAGGGTGTAATTTTAATTTCGCTGGAAAATTAGATAATTAAATTTCGTTTTCGAAGTTAGAAGTCGATCAAATTTTTCGTGACCTTCACACTTTCGCTGTTCAAAATTGGAGTTTCCCTTCCTTTTAAAAAAGGAATTGAACTGAACTTAAAAAGAAATCAAAAGTCAAAACGCGAAACATTGAGCCTGAACAATTTGAAAAATTCCTGAAAAAAATCATCGCGACCTTCATAAGAGTCTGAAATACGCTCATCGACTCATAGAAACGAAAAAAGATACTGAAATACGGAATTGGATACTTTACTACCAACATAATCAAAGCACTCGAATAGAACGGTCATTTAAAATAAAGACATGCTCAAAATTTGTCTGTTCTCCATCTGTCTTTTATTGACAAAAGAATGATTTTTGTTCTACTTTTGAAAAATCTCAGATGTTGCCCTAGTAAAGCTTTATTTTGACAACACTTTTGGCTTTTCGGGTGTTTGGTATATCTGGTGTTTACATGCTACCCTGCCCACGCATCGCACAATTTCTAGCACCCCGGGCTGATGTGATCGACTCATGATTCGACCGAAACGGTCGAACGATGTCCGTTTTCAACTTTTTTCGACTTTATGGCACATTTTTTTTTACTTTGTTTGACTTTGCTACATTTTTTTCGACTTTACCGGACATTGTTCGATTTTACCGAACATAGTTCGACTTTCTTCTTCTTTATCGGAAATTTTTCGCTTTTACCGTGAATAAGTTTTGCTCGTGCGGTGCCAAAGATTACTCTCCAATTGAATTAAATTATCATATGCTATTTATTAAAGCACTTGATCAATTTAATTTTTAGTGGCAACCCGGATCGAGGTCGCGGACTTATGTTGCAACAATTGCGACTCAAAATGTGTATCATGCAAACATTGCTACTCAAATTGGGTATGTTGCGACCATTGCGACTCAAAAAAGGTATGTTGCGACTTTGTGCGACCGAAATATTTGCGCGGCTTTGCGCAACCCAAAACAGATATGTTGCGACTTTGTGCAACCCAAAAAGGTATGTTGCGACCATTGCGACTCAATGTGGATAGGTTGCGATTTGGTGCGAACAATTTAATTGCGCGACTTTGAGCGACCCAAAACAGATATTGAAAGATTTTTTGGGACTCAAAAAAGGTATGTTGCGAACATTGCGACTAAAAATGGGTATGTTGCGACTTTGTGCGGCGGAAACTTTTGTGCGACTTTGCGGGACCCAAAACAGATATGTTGCGACTTCCCGGGTCGAGGTTTGCAATTTATGTTTCGACCGACACTACCAAAGCTGTCTATGTTTCGACTACGCTCGAAAAAATATTGAGGTAAAATTACCCTATGTGAGTTAAGGTACAAAATTAAGGTAAAATGTACCTTAATATTACCGTAATTTTACCTTAACAATCTATTAGGGTAAAATTAACCCTAACCGAACTAGGATAATTTACCTTATATCTCACAGGCGAAGAGTGTGCTGCGCCTTTTCCAATGTTTTTTTTGATAATTTTGATTTTTTTTTGGAAACTGTCGATTCGTGCTTATGGTACCAAAATTTATTTATAATTTTATCTTTGAAGTAAGTGTGTTTCATTTAGTTATCGTCATTTTTGTTAATATCCATTTAAATTTTCTGGTTTATGTTTGATTTGAATAGTTTCTAGCTTTCAGTTTTTGTGGTAACGAAAATAATGTTGCCCTAAAAAAGATTGCTTATATTTAACGTTGGGACCATGTGTAGGTCTTATCGTGGTGGTCCTGTATTTGATCAGCAAATGTGTTGATCTAGCTAACCGCTCATTAAAAGTACATATATGCTGGATGGTTTTGCAATCTGCATCCGTATAACGCTTATGCAAGCAAAAAATTCGACAACACTTCCATTACTTAAGCTTTGCGCGACTCATGTTGCGAGTTTCCTCGACCCAAATCAGCTATGTTGCGACTCCGTGCGACCCATGTTGCGAATTTGTGCGACTCATGATTTGACCGTGTTTGACTCATGATTCGACCTTGTTCGATTCATGATACGACCCTCTTGGACTCTATCAACCCTGTTCGACTCAGGATTTGACCCGGTTCGACCCATGATTCCACCCTGTTCGACTCATGATTCGAACCTGTTCGACTCATGATTCGACTATGATTCGACCCTATTCGACCCATGATTCGACCGTGTTCGACTCATGATACGACCCTGTTCGACTCATGATTCGACCCTGCTCGACTCATGATTCGACCCTGTTTGACTCATGATTCAACCCTGGCACTCATGATTCGACCGTTTTCGACTCATGATTCGATTTTGTTCGACTATAGTGTTCGTTCGACCGTCTGAATTTGCGACGAAAATCGGACTCGGCTCGACCGTGTGGTTCGATTCATGAGTAGAACATCTCAGCCCGGGGCCATAGTTCAAACCCGTTGCAATAATCTACTTTAATTTTTGAAAATTTCCCTGAAACACCCAGCCGAATTGCTGAGTTGTATGTAGCACCACGATTTGACAAAAGCTTGTTGCTCTTGGCACAGCCGTCCTATCAATAAACACATAGACATATCTGCATATTGAATGATTTTCTACCACTGAATTCTGGTCTCTTTGGCTCTAATTTACAAAATCTTTTTTTTAATCAATCAAGACTAATTCTTTTGAAGGCGTCTTTTGCGTCAAAACACATTAATACGGAAGGTGACGTCCGCAAGTCAAAAACGTTCAGAAAATTCTCGAAAAAAAAATTTCGGCAGAGCTAAAAAAAATTGTTGAATTAAAAAAGTCATCGCGGCCAAAAATTTTGCTGAATGTTTTTAAGGGAAATGCTAAACGAGATGGTTTATAAATTGTGATAATTGTGCAACTAAAATACTTCGCGGAAATCCAAAGCCCTGCTTACGCTTCGAAAATTAATGAGTTCATTCATAACTGCGAAACATCTTTGGATTAACCAATCTAAATACCTATAATGAAAATACTCATTGCAAGGTTCAAAAAAAATTTCTTAGTTTGGAGAAAGCTCAGTGGCTGTTTTGTTTTCAGGTCGCACATTTGTTCGACAACCCGGCCACCATTTTCTTCGGCGCCTTCATCTCATTCTGGTCTGTGTTCTTTCTCGAGTTCTGGAAGAGGACCCGAATGAACCTGGCATACAGGTTAACTTCATTGACTATCTTGTGTCTTTGAAAATTAAATATTATTCATTATCAGTTTTTTCATTCCAAAATTGAGATGGGTGATGATTGTGAGAAGCAATTAAATTTAGGAAATTTTCTCTTTGATGAAGAGAATCATGAGCGAAAATCATGGAAGTTTTTTGGAGGTAAGTGTGATAGATCTCTTTTAGTTCTTGTGTTCCAATTTTTTTGTCTTAGTTTTAATAATAGCATGTGCAACCGTTCGAATAATGTTATCTACATGTGATAAACAACAGATTGGGTAGCAATTTTATCAAGTGCAGTTGGTTATATTTTACCTTTTCCAAAGCTATGAGTAAAATAACTGCTACCGAAGAGCGAGTTTTTATTTCGCTAGTTGGACCGAGTGGATCTAGAAAATCGCATCTTATTTTCGATTGGTTAAAAATTGGTACATTTCAACCAAAATTTGATAAAGTTTTTCATTTCCAGCAACATTATCAACCTCTTTATGGACAAAGGCAAAAAAAACTTATTTTTTTCCAAGGAGTTGACTTTGAACTGATTGAAAACCTTCGAAATTATGGAACAAAAAACCTGTTATTATTTGACGAATATTGTGAAGAAATTTCAATTTCTAAGCAGTTTGTGAAAATTGCTTCTGCTGGAAGACACAGGGGACCCAATACAATTAATATTAGGAATAACTTGTTTCATCAAAGACAATTGGGAAGAGATGTCGAGTTACAAAATACACATATAGTCTTGTTCAAATCACCGAGAGATGTTTTACACATCAATATTTTAAGTAAAGAACTAGGTATAGGATCACATTTGAAAGAGTGGTATCAAGGTGCAACATCTTTTCCTTATGGTCATTTACTCATTGATTAAATTCCAAAAACAATTGATTCGCTAAGATATTGCATAAACAGCGGTTCAGTTCCATCAAAATTTTATTTACCAGCAGGAACAGAAACAAAGTTTTCGGGCGATGAGCATAAAATACGTCTCTATACTCCCAATATTTCAAACAATTTCCCAAAAACTTCAAAAACAATTCATCCTCCATTGTCCAAAAAGTTTAGTTCAGTTCCTCAGCGAATGTCTGTAAATTAGCTACCAGGCGAGCTACAAGATCTCTTAAAAGTAGACGTATATCGAAGAGAAATATCAGAACTTACACAAAAAAGAACATCACTGCAAAAAAAAAACTATTTTAAGCTCGCCAAAAAACTTACAATTAATATCTCTTATTACTCCTTTTGTCGTTAAAAGATTGTCATAGTATGAATCAATTTGCTCTAATTTTTAAATCAGTTTATCAATCACAAAGTGCGCTTCCAAAAAAACGAAAATTGGAAATAAAGCAAGAAAAAGGGGAGATTGTACCAAAAAATTTTGTTTCTTTCTACAGTGCTGTAAATGCGAGGTTGAAAACGAGTAACAATAAGCATCTTATTGAAATAGTTTTGATTTATCCTAGAATTGAAATAAGTCAGGAAATATCATATTAGATAAATGAGACAAAAATTATCTTTTGTAGACTTTGTGTGTGCACTAAAGTAGAAAAAACCGGCTTTCCAGATATTTATTTTACCATTTTAGAAGCAACTCAAATTCCACCGAAATTTGTTTTCAACAAGAATGCCAAAGCGAAAGACAGAGGAACTTGGATCCCTTTCAAAATCTGAAAAAGTAAGTCTGAACAGATTTGCGTACGGTTCTGTGCGAAACTTATGTAAAGCAAACGGTTTGTCAGAAAAGTAAGTAGAACAATTTTTACAAACCAAGACATCGTATTCAAAGTTTGGATCTCCAATCAGACGTCAAGAAGACTTCAAGCTTTTTTAAGACAAATTCAAGCTATTTGGTGCATAGACATGGTTTTTGTGGACAAACTAGCGAAAAAAAAACAATGGAGTCAAATATTTATTGGTTGCTGTTGATGTTTTTTTCACGATTTGTCAGAGTTCAAGCAATGAAAACAAAAAATGTCAAGGACAATTTGCATTCCTTCAAAAAAAATTTTTTCTCAAAAACATATTCCTGAAAAAATTTGAGTTGATAAAGGAACAGATTATGGGGGATTTTTAAAAAATTTTGCAAGGAAAAAGACAATAAAGTTTACTCGACAATGAGTGAAACAAAAGCTGCATTGGAAGAGAAAGCCATTGAACTATCCCAAAACTGCTGATTCTAGATATGGGGCTCAACCATTCGACAATTTCCTCTTTCTCGAGAAGAGGGATCTGTGGAGAACCCAATTATCATCGAAGAGGATGAGGGGTTCTCTGAGCCAAAGACCCCAGTCAGCGAACAACCAAGACAACCACCGGCGATGGAGGCAAGACCAGCTTTGCGCTCCATTGAGAACTTTCGAAATCTTGAGTACTCAGCTGCTCGACAGCTCTTTGATTTGTAAATAATTTGGTTGACGTCTTGTGTTTTGTTATTTATTTTGCTTGCATCTATTAGTTTTATATTAAAGAGATAGGAACAAAGAGATAAAGTCAAACTTTTTTAAAAATCAAACTGAATTTGCAATTGGTAAACAAGTTTACAAATTTTCTTTGCAAAGAAGATAAAAAAATTAAATCAATTTCAAAAGTTGTGAAAAATTTCACATCATTTTCGCACACAAGATAAAAAACATTACAATTTTTGCACAAGTGTTAAAAACTTTACAATAATTTTTTCACCCTGCAAAAATTTTCCTAAAATTTTTCCCCACTTGCTAAAAAAAACAAATAAATTTCTCAAATTTAGAAAATTTTCATTGGGTGTTTTCGCACTTCCAAGAAAACTGTAACAAGATTTTCTTGCATTGTTGAAAATTAAAACTTATGAAATTCTTTGTTTAAATTTTGATCATAAAAAAATCCATATTTTGCATAATTGTTGATCAGAAACATTAGAAAAACAACATAATAAGATAAGGAATAGCACTCAAAGCCATCAATGATGAAAACATTTTAGCAAAAATTTAACAATTTTTTTACTATAAAATTTTGCGTTTTTCGCGTTTGCATAAGAAGATAGAAGTTATTTTTTGTACTTACACAAATTGCTTATGAAATTTTTTGCATCTTGTAAAAAAATTTAGTTAAAATTTTGCAAATTTGTTGAAATAATCAAATCAAAAATTACATATTGAGAAAAAGACTGAAGTACTACACGTGTTAAAAACTAGAAATTTTTTCGTTGGAAAAACTTGAATTAAAATTAGTTTTGACAAGACTTTTATAAGCAAATCTTCAATTATCAAATCTTCAATGACACGCTCACTATTTACAGAACCATAATCATCAATAAAAAATTAAAAATTTTCAACAAATTAGACTCATACTTGGATGTTTGAACTTTTCGAATCCCTTCCAAAAAAGCTGATCCAAGACGCAGGCTTCTGAGCAGAACTGAGATGATATTTTTTGAATGTTTTTCGCACCAACCAAATCTTTGCAACACTGGGTAATTTTCACGGTATTCTGCATTTCCAGTTGTGTTCGACCACACGTTTCAATTGATTGAAAACTTCATCTCTTGATGAAATAATATTGGAAAATTTTTTGTATTTGTATAAAGTATAAATACAGTCAACAATTTGGTAATGGAAATAATTTTTATCTAATCTTTGCAAAACATGATCGAGTGATGATCCAATTAACACTAAGTGAAACTTGCAATTTTCCACAGGGCAGAATGATGAATGTTTAGATACACAGTAGTCTTGCGTGGTGGCAATGAATTTTTCTTAAAAGTTTTCTGAGACAGAGATAAAAAAAGATTTTGCATTGTAATCTGATTAAAAAGTGGGTTATAATTGACACATAGCAGATGCCATCAACGATTATTTGTTTAAAAGATTTGTAACTACATTGACGTGTTTAAGTAGTAGTTCTAGCAACTACGCATTATCCATAATGGTTTCACGCCCACTCACTATTCCATTTAAAGTAATAAAACCTTATTTGGAAAATACAGTGAGTCATCTACATTTCCCAATTTGTATATATTTACAAATATCATTATTTTGAAATATCTACTACTGATCAGTTGGCTCCGAATCTCAAGTCAGAAATTTATTCGCCAAAAGATACCATTCCCAACTAATTTGAGTTTGCTAAAAACCAAACGAGAAAAAGGAGATTTTCTTGGTCCCAAAATTGCTAACAACGGAAAAATTTACTTTGAACCTTGCTTCCAATTGCTTAAAAAAACCGGAACTAATCAAAAACCCCAGCAAGTCTATCTTAGTGAAAAAAAAGGAGAAAAGATATCAGCAATACGGAATATTTTTATTCACGATGCTGAAAACGTTGGACTCGTTCCTGTATTGGAACCCTATTGTGACAAAGATTCAACTATGGAGCAGGAACTTGCGAACTGTCATGCGGTGTATGACATAGCAGCGTACCAGAAAAGAAAGGTGTGTTTTACAATCAAGAAATACAGTGTGAACAAGCCACCCTACATTCATATACGACTCTTCGCTGCAAAGGAGAACGAAGTCTTGAAGCAAGTTACCTATGTCAACTATGCTTTGAACGATTCCAAAGAACTCGCCCAAGTCTTGAGAGGTTCTATGTATGTTGAGAAAAGTCATGTTCAATAATTTTGTTGAGTGATGTTATTATAGTCATGTATTTCAAATATTGATCTTCTTGAATCATTTTTTGAAATTTTTTTGAGCTGAGCAGTATGAGTTGGAACGTTGATTTTTCCAGAAACCTCGTTTTAAAGCTCCATAATAAATTGGGACTTTTTCATATCGGCTTAGAAGAAAAGTCCCAGAATTTTTCACCAACAGTTTTTTGGCATTTCGAAATTTACCAAAACTGCAAAATTTGGATACAGAATCACAAATTTTTCAATTTGAGTGGACTTCACATTATGGAAGACGTAAACTTTTTCTAAGTTATCGTACAGATATTTAAAAAACAGATCTTATAGAGTATCGTAGGAAAAAAAACTCTTAAGAAACAGTCAAAAATTTCAGTTTGAAAAAGAGGAGTAAG